GCCTCCAACCTAAGAGCAATGGCGATGGCCTCCAACCTAAGAGCAATAGCGATGGCCTCCAACCTAAGAGCAATGGCGATGGCCTGGCCTCCAACGTATATATTATGAATGTAGCCAACAATCGCCTTGTCAAGTCCCCAACTCTGCACCCATCCGCACCCCATGTCAGCACATCATCTGCACACTGTGACGGCATCGCATTTCCAAAAGCAGCAAAACAAACGAAATTCGGGGTTTTGTCCGTTTTCCGGAAAAGTTGTGCTGTTCATGAAATGAATCCTGGAAAAGTCATTTTGTATATCACCGACTTCTTTAACCGGTATAGCAAAACAAGGGACGGGTTTTCACACTGCAAGCACACGTGTTGGCAGAATGTTGTCATTTGACGTAACCGGTAGCTGAAAAACATGCACTTGCAAGCATCACACACACAAAGAACAATTTGTACAACTCCTGCAAGCTTATGCAAGAGTCTGTGCTAGAGACTGACTCTATTTACACATATCCTATCCGTTTGTGACAAGTGTCACAATAGCTTTCATCATAATCACTCCACCTATCCTTGGCAGCTGCCAACAGCTGAGCTGTTGCATCTTCCAATGTCCCACCATTCGATGTGCACTCCAACACCTTTGCTGCCAATGGGGCGAAAACGAGAATGGCTTCCGCCCCCAACATAAACACCGTACAGGAGCAAAGTTTAGCAAGTTTGCAAGCGTGCTTCAATCTCACTAACCTCGTCGCCGGAGAGGAAGTCCCAAACACCATCAGTCGCAAGCAGCATATAGCCTGACAGCGTCCTTGCTACTACTAGCTTCTTGTTCCTAGTAGCGATGGCCTCCAACCTAATAGCGTTGGCCTCCAACTAGGTAGCGTCCTAGTTACTAGTAGCTTCTTGTTCCTAGTAGCTGTCAGGGTAGCTCTTCACATCCCATGTCACAATCTCAGGCTCCGCAGTGATCCCATGCTGCTTCACACAGAGATCTCCCAGCGATCTGGTCATGCAAAGGCCAGGGAACTCCTCGTCCTTAATGAACAGCCGCTCCTCGACAAAGCCTTGGAATGCAGAATGCTCACATATGCTCACATAGGCTCACAGGGTACAGGCGGACAAACCCTTCAGCACTTTGTATAGTTTGTCTATGTCTACGTACAGTTCTTGATGGGATTTCTCGCAAAATGGAAGACAGCAGTTCATGCTGAGCATGGATGAAGTCGGCAAAAAAGGTCAAGCTTGATAACCCCATGTAACATCATGTAACTCCTATAGCAAGGCCGCGGTGCCATCATCATGAATGGTGGTCTGCAATTCCATACCGCTTCGCTCCACACGCTCACGCTCAGAAGCCACCGAGGGCTTATGGTCGACAGTCTCAGCCACCACCCCCAAGGTGGTCGGAGAAATCATGACAGCTTTGGAATCCCCCAGGTTTGCCACCCAAACTGTATCATAGTCCGGATGCTGCAAAAGACACACTGCAGTGCATCCACAGACCTGTAGGGAAAAGTCTTCTTCCACAGATTGCTTCACTAAGTCCATCTGAACTTTCTCAAAGGCATGGAATAGAGCAGCCTTCACTTTGCCTTGTTTCAGCATGGTGCTGCATGAAGCGGATGCATGTAGGAAATATGGTAGTGTTTTTGACGATCTGATGGCCGGCCAATGCCCTGCTTCTCCGTGCCCATCGAATAAACAATACACAGTCCAGCCAGAGGGGAGAAGAGAAATTGAGCAGCAGTCTTGCCCAACAGATCGATCCCCATGTCCTTTTCACCCACAGGACTGAGCTCATGTCTTTCATGAAAGCGGTGAAATGTGTGACAAACATCATCAAACCTTCAGCCCGGACCTTGCTCAACCTTGAAACCTGCGACTCATATGCAAACATAATCAAACAAAACCACAATGAACAGAAAAAAAGAAAGGAAGTCGCACATATCTGACATATCTCCAAGGTTTGTCCAAGGACCCAGTTTCATCCATTTAACAGCAAAACCTCTCAAACCGACCAGCCAGGTTCAACGCAGTCCTTTGCTGCCCTTGGTATTCACCGCTCCGATGCCCATGCGCTGGAGCATCACTCCCCTGTTGGCGCCTGGAGGAGACACCCGCCAAGACCTCACCGCATGAGAGGCTTCCTTGCTCCATCGAGGCATTTGAGGCATCACCTGCCAGGAGCTGGTGCTCCAAACCTTGTCCTCAGCGTCAATAGAGAAAAGAAGAAACAACTCGAAGTGGAAAGTGGGCGTTTGGATGACCATTTTCATCTACAACCTGGCGGTATCCCACTTCCATGATTGTTTCAGGAGTGTAGGAATCTTGATCATCTAGGCTCACAAAAGCAAATTTTGACAAGATTGCCTTAAAGACTTGTCATTTCGACCAAACAACAACTCTTCCATGATTCTCCACCTGGCTTTGGACTAGTATCTATGACCGTCTCGTTGGTATCTTCCAGGATGTTGAGCAAGTTGCCCTCTGCCTAGGCTGCTCGCAGGAAACAGTGCAACGATTCAAAGCACTTTATTCACTCTGTGGCTTCGTGAGAGACATTTCAATTGAACACGGTGCAGAAATTCGTCCCACTGCGAGCTTTCTTCTTCACTGGTGTGCAATATTCTACTCTATGATCGATGCTCGTATATTTGCAAAGTATCGCAACCATTTGTCAAAACCAACTTTGCATCATCAAATGCAATAATCTCAACACTTTGTTTGCCATTTATGTCCTTCGGATTTGCAAAGACCTTCCATGCTCATCTGTTCTCATAGCTTTTCATTGGCTCCCCTGCGCTTTCATGTGCAAACACATTGCATTTCTCTACATCTCCCCAGCTAAAGCTACGAGTATGTAACCTTTGGCCACCAGCCTTGCATTCAAGCTCTTGAAAATGTCAAAGCTTGCTTGACTCCAAAACCAGTAGCCAAGAACCCTAGCTTGCCTCGGATTATCTGCAGTTCTCCTCTTTTGAGCCTTTTGTGGACTAGCTGCTGCATGTTTCTGCGGGGGTCTCTATGACAACGACAATATCCTCTGGTTCCATGTTTTCACACCGGGAGGTTTCCGCTTGAGCGGCTTCGCTCACCCACGCCACAGACTGACAGACTGCATCTGGGTTGCCATCTGGGTTGCCTTGAGTAGCTCATGGGTCTGGTGCAACTTGGCCAAAGCCTGTGGTGGCACTGACATCCTGAGATCGACAAGGTCCCCCACGTTGGAGAGCTCGGCGCCGAATCTGCTGAGAAACCGGTATATACTGGATGAGAACAACAAAGCGGGCCAGGGTGTCCAAAGCACGACAACGGAAAAAAACCAAGGTATCCTTGCAGAAATCAGACATGTTGCAAGTGACAGGTGTAACAAATATCCGCCCAAAGCTCCCTCAATGCACCCCAAACCAAAAATGACAATGAGGACCTGTTCTTTGCCTTTGGAGGTGTGTGCGCCCCTCCCAGCAGTTCAAATCGTAACATATCGTAACAGTGGCCTTTGCAAGCTAGCTAGAATCAGCTAGAATATTGAGAACCTTGACATGGTGGAAGTATCCCAAGTTATCTTGAACAATAAACTTCTAACAATAACCATTGATGTCTGGGCAAGGCGCGCGCTGAATCGCTGTACGCATGCTCGAGACCAATCACCACCTGGTTCAGAAAATTGTCTGGAATACCTCAGAAGGCCAAGAAAGGACGAGAAAGAGAACTTGCGAAAAGAGATCATCTGTTCCTCTTCGCGAGATTTGACAAAATCTCGTTTCCGTAGTGGCCCACCAGCCAGTTGCTAGCTTCCATCTGGGGAAAATCTGGTAGAGTCGTACATACAAGCTCCAACGTGGAACCTGCATCCTTCTTAATTATGAGCATGCAGAATGTGTAAACTGTGCTACGCAGAATGCTTTAGTGGTCCATGCATGTCGCGCACCTATCGATCCAGAACAATGGACATCCGCTTCTTTGGGGAAAGGAGCATCTCACGTGATCAGGATCCGGTTCGTAGTCGAGCAGCGGTGACGCGGCATGGAGAATCCCTAGATCGGGATTTGTATCTTCACGGCGCAAAAAGGACTCTGTCAAGCGCCTGCGCAGCTGTCTCCAACCGGATCAGGACCTACGTCACTGGTTTTCGCACCGCTCTCTGGGAACAACTCAGCAAAAGCACATTCCAGCCTTTTATTTTGGCGAGACATGATGCAGTCGCATATGAATAAGATTGGATAAGTATCAAGTTATATACCTTTTTCTGCAAAGGCATACATGCATAGGATGCTGACGCCAGGGTGCTGGCATCTCTGTTTACAGACCGAAGCCAGCGTGAATGATGCTTGGACTATGTGTGGTGCCCCATGCTCAGCAACGAGCTGAAATGGCTGCCAGTTCACCAAATCAACAATGTGTTTTGTAAGAATCTACAAGGCTCATTTACTCCGTCCAGCCATCTCGAAGAGCTGAGAAGCCACTGGGCAAATCTGGAGATCTGGGTTCGAAATGGCTGTGTTGACTGTGTTGACCTGAGAAAACATGGACGTCTGGAACGGGCCAACGTTTGGACATCTGATCGCTGGAAAGGGTGCGGCAGCAATTGTTGCTTGGGTCAGTGAAGGTGTTGAAGAACATGTGGCGGGTTCAGCTGAATGTTTGCGTGGCAAAGCGGCACGTATAGTAGTATAGCAGCACGTATGATGGATCCCACGCACCTATCCACCTGGAGATCTGCTCATCTTTTTCCGAAGCTGCCACAGGTGCCATCTTAGTTCCTCTTCCAAAGCTGTGATTCATTCCAACAACAAAATATATTAATCGATGCATCGCAAACGGCATGTGTGTCAAAGAATATGTCAATCTAGCCCTCAGCAACACAGCTGCGTAGGTAACCCTCGTATTCTGTTTGTTCACAAGTGTGTCTCTTCAGAAAACGCAGCGCTTTTCGCATCCTCGTGTCCCTGTCCCCTCTGCACGCATATGTGCACATGTGATGGCACGTGTAGTCCACAGCCCGAAGTTTCGCAGCTATTTATCGCCATGCGAGTTGGGAAACGAACCGCGGTCGAGCGATGGCAACGATTCTGGGAAAAGTGTCCAGCTGGCGATATAATTGGCTCTTGATGCTTTTGGCTGTGCCTCTTGAAATCAATGCGCGGGTCTGCGGGTCTTTTATATTTTACTTTTTGCAATCGCATCAAATATACTCTGGTTTTGGAACCTTGGTCCGTGGATCAACGTGACGCAACAGCGACCTGCAAAAACAGGGAGCGAATAGCAAAATTCTTGGAAATCAACATGCTCTGCATTCACTGACCTCCATATGGCTATTGATCGCTTCTGGGGAAAGGAATGTGCAACAAGAACAAATCAATCATGTATGGAGCTGAGGAGTTGGCCCCGTCTTTCTCCGGCATGTACTCCAAACCAATGGTCTTCAAACCTGCCTGAGACCGTCTCTCTGCCAAAATTGAAAGCAGTCGCCTCCAAGCTTCTGAACACCTTTCTTCTACCTTGCAACTACAAGCCGAATCCAAAAGGCCTGGAAGTTCGCCTCGAAATACTCCGGGTGAGTTTGCTCTGTTATCTCGGGAGCAGTCCAGCCAACCTCCAACGTCTTGGCCAGTGAAGAACCATTTTGATTTCCTCCTTTTGCATCTAGCGAGCATGTATTCTGCAACTTCTACGACTTCTCTCTCTCTCTCTCGTAGGTTGGAGGCCATCGCTAGTAGGTTGGAGGCCATTGCTTTTAGGTTGAAGGCCGTAGCGCGCGTTTTAAAAGCATGTTGACCACGAGCGGAACTTGACAGGCCCAAGCCCCCCCAAGCCGCCCCTTCCGCACCTTCCTCAGCCGCTCTGACAGCCAATTCAACCGCTTCGCGTTCGCCTGGGCTTCGGCAGGTTTTGATTTTGTTGTCGTGCCTTTTAGCACTTTAAAACATCTAAAAACGAAGGTTTTTGCGGGTTTATCGCGCCAAACTCTCAGAGTTTGTACAGGGGACAAGCTAAGTTCACCCGAAGGACTGAAGGACACTTGTTGGTGACCCTGTTGGTGATATTGGGGGTTTACTGTGCCTGATTGGTTGGTTGGTTGGTTGGCATTGTCGGTTGGCTTCGTCGTTTGGTCACTGTCCGGGACAGCCAGGCTCTGCTTGGCAGATCTTGGCAGATCCAAGATCTTGGATACGTGTGCTGATTGTGGTCGGTTGGTTGTCTTAGTCGGTTCCTTGATTCGGTGGGTTCAATGAGCCTGTCAATACTAGACCGGGTTCTCCGCAACGAACCATTCCACAGTGCAAGCCTCTGCCCCAAATCCTATTGTCCAAAGCAACATGAATTTCTGTGGGCCGGCTCTGACCAGTCAACTGTTGCAAATTGTGTTTGTCGGCCTGTGTGCTGTGCCATCCGCCTCACCTGGACAAAGCTGCTTCATTTGCCAAAGTGCCAGGCTATCAGGCGGTGTCTGGACAGTGCCCAACCTGCATCGAGGCCGGATGCACGTTATGCAGCGCTACTGGGAGCAAAGGATGCTACTAGGGGCTCCTGGCATCGCTACTAGGAGCAAAGGACGCTACTAGGGGCCCC